AAAACAAGACGAGCATTTAAAAGAAATATTGCTTTTAGAAATACATTAATCAATCTATTTATACATTAAACCGCAATCAGTTATTTAAATGGATAGAAAAATGCAAGTAAAAGTGGGATTGGAAGAGCGTTGTATTCGGCTTTCTAAATATGCGCGAAGTGGAAGCAGAGCGCAAATTATTAATTAGATTTGATGAATTAGCTATGAATTTTGAGTTCAATTTTTAAAGACAATCATTATTTTCAAAAGCACTTAAGCTTAAGAGTGACGGGAATTATGAATTAATAACATCATAAATGCTAATATTTTATATGCCTTTAACTTTAGATGTATTTATAGTTAGTAATCTAATGGCATGATTAAATGAAATAAAATGTATAAAAACTAAGAAAATGAATAAAGTGCCTGTTTTAAAATATGTTTTAGCATAATGTAGTATGCTTTAATACATTATCAAACTAAAATATGGAATAAAATAATACTCGTTGACGTTCGCCAGTATAAATATTAATACTCAGTCTCATATGGTTTATCTTGTAATTTATCTCGCTTCTCTAGCTATCTAGCTGCTAAGCAGATAGGTACTCCTATACCAACGCTGGGGATTGCTCTCCTGCTTTGGTAGCCCGAAGACCTGAACGCGAAGACGAGCACTTTACGGTAGAACTGTCTGACGAGGACCAATGCTGCACAACTTCTGTCCCTTCGCAGGATGACCAAAGTGGTCACTCAACCGGTTACTTTACCGCAGTCAGTGATGCTAGACTTCTATGTTCTACTGAGAAGTGCGTCTTTACGATTGATCTACTGCGAGACCCTATTTAGTTAGACCAGTTTGAAATGTGTCCTAGTATTCAGCATTATAAACAATTGCAGAAATTACTTCAGATGCAGAGTTACTCGCTAAATTATACAGCCAGCTTCCATCTTTAAGAAAAAAGCATTATGCTAGCGATAATTTTGATTTTACTTATGATTAATTGTATCGAAGTCAATTCGAGAAAGGAATTGTATCATTTCAGAAGTATAATGCATGTTCAAACTATTCTTACACAATCATACATCTTATTAAATATCTCACTAAGACATTTTATATTATTTAAAGCACTCCTTTAATTAAGTTACAACAGATTCATAAAAACTATATGTATGCAACCTCTTTGTTAATAGTTTTACAATTGATATTCTTAATATAACAAACAAACATAATTTAACAAACAATATGTGCAAAAATAGCTGCTTTTGTGCAAAAAAAAGCGCAATAAAACAGCTAGGAAAAACATCTAACTTTTAAAATTTTGAGCATAATTCAATATTTTATGACTGAAAGAAAGGCAAAAGTGAATTTTGTCTCCGTATTATTTGTGGCCAAAAATAGCATCGCAAGCAGTTATGTTTTAAAACTGACAAGAATCAAAATATTCCTTTTTATGCAATAAAAAAACTGCCTTTTGAGCAATAAAAAAACTCCAATAAAATAACTAGGAAAAGCATCTAACTTTCAAAATTTTTAGCATAATTCGATATTTTATGACTGAAAGAAAGGCAAAAGTGAATTTTGTCTCCGTATTATTTGCGGCCAAAAATAGCATCGCAAGCAGTAATGTTTTAAAACTGACAAGAATCAAAATATTCCTTTTTGTGCAATAAAAAAACTGCGTTTTGAGCAATAAAAAAACTCCAATAAAATAACTAGGAAAAGCATCTAACTTTCAAAATTTTGAGCATAATTCGATATTTTATGACTGAAAGGCAAAACTGAATTTTGTGTCCGTATTATTTGTGGCCAAAAATAGCATCGCAAGCAGTTATGTTTTAAAACTGACAAGAATCTCTTCAAAAAATTGAAAAATTTGTT